TTCAGCTAATAACATAACGTACTAAAAGTTATCCTAAACATCTGCGTTGTAAGTTTTTTTATTGGTATTAATTAGCTAATTAATAATTTGTTCAGCTTGACGCCACTTGTTATACACTACTCCGTAATGTAACCCGATTTTGTGCGAATACAAGGGCAGGAAACGAAAGCAAACAAAATTCGTCATAAAAACTTTTTCTCGATTTTCTGTCATTCCAATTGCCTATTGAAAAGTTATACATTTGTTTGAGAAGAAAACATACTGCCTCAGTGAATAATTATTTGTATAACTTATCAAATAATCTTATCAGAAAAATATGTATGTATAATTGATTAGTTTAAATCCATGTTCATATATAGTCATAATCTCAGCTCTTATAACTATTCTCAGCAAACCAATTTCATTTTATATCCAAATTATATCCTTGAAAGAAAGAAATTTTTGGGGCTGGATTTTTTCTGTCGTTATCTATATACGCAAGTGAGCACCAAATTAAATCTAGCTTTAAGAGCACATGACAAGACATCATCCTTCATCTTCATCATTCTGTACAAAAGAAAACATTAAAACAACTACATAGTAAAAATCAATTTATTTTACATTCAATCATAATAACGTTAATTGGCTAAATAAATACATTTGTTATTATAATGTACAAATATTACATACATACATTTTGCCATGACATTATAAAATATTGAGTAAAATCAACAATTTCCTCGACAGATTATGTCCTTAACATTTTTATTTTAAGGAGCAGCTCACACAAAGAATTCACAAAGTTTAACTGCAGTTTTTAAGTGTCAACTACATTAAAGAAAGAATAATCATAGCCAATGAAACGCGTATAGTTAGAGTCAACTAACGTAGCACACCGAGTTACATGTGCAGAAGGCTAAAAGAAGCGCTGCAAACGGTCAATCGGAATAATTAATGTGCCTTACTCACGCTCAGTTTGAGTAAGACGAATATATTTTACATTTTTGAAACAATATTTGTCACGAATTAAACGATCTGCCCTGTGATTCTGTAAAAATCGAGACCCGAATTCGAATTCACTCATGTGTCCGAATTCGTCATTTAGTGTAGAAATTCTATTGATTCCATTTTTTTGTATAAAATAACAAAACAAAATTGATTGAATATACGTGCCTCAGATATTCTATTCCTATGTTATTTCGAAACTCACTTCACTTATGCCACGAAATGTTATTACCAGTTCAAGATTGAGCGGATTGCTATTTGAAGTGAATTCGGACACCTGAGTGAATTAGAATTTGGGTTTGGATTTTTACAGAATTGCAGGGCTGCTCTGCGCAAACGGTGATTCGACATCCATATTAGTTCGATCGTTCTCTGTCCATAATAGTGACATTTCACTTCAAATTATTCTATTACTCCTATGCAGTTGTAAATATTATACATACTTCACGGATTTCTTAAGGTGACAATTATTTGTCAGAATGGTATATGCCCAAGGAGGCGAAAAAAAAAAGATTTTTAGGATTCCTTGTACACAATTGTATGAACCATCGCACACATGTAAGCATCGATTCATCCGGACTCTAGTATCACCAATCATTCATTTGTAAGGAGTGAATTCGTTTCATCCGGCTCCTTCGACTCTGATAAATATGTGATCGGCTTTAAATATATTTTATTGCCTGTGCCTCTGACAAATCTCTATGGTAAAATTACGGAAATCGTAAATACATTATAGGTATAGGTTATAATTTATAATTGAATAATCAATGAATAACTGGCATCGGGAAATTGTTCGTCACATTAATCAACTGAAAGCCATACTGTAGTACCTCAAAGATTGTCTTCATTTATGAAAAAATTTATATACAATGACTATAATGTCTGCAAGTGTTTAATTTTTATCTTTTATTTGATTAATTAGGAAATGATGGAAGAGGTACATATGTCTTTTTCAAAAATAATTTATTGCTTAAATTATTATAGGCTCCACTTCTGTTGATAATACAAACAGTACCTACATGTTAAGTAGGTACTTTTTGTATTATCAGAGAAGAGATGAGAACTTAATGTAATGGAATGTAATTTTAAATATTAAAAACTTTTACATGAATAAATTCACGCAAATTAGCACCGGTTCTCATTCACGACTATGAAACAATGGTATTCACAACTTTCAATTGACAAATTTTACTGAAATATAAATATTTTATTAATTATTTTATATTAATCCTACGTCTATGGTACGAACTGAGCACAACACGTAAAAATTGTTTATACTATCGACATTAAATTACTTTATACTTCACATTTACAAATATTTCTAAACAACAAAAACGCCAAAAGAAGTATTAAATGCCTTTAGAAAAAAATGAACTCATATTATGATATTAAATATTCTGATTTCGTGAGGAGTTTCAAATCCCTAAAGAAATCCTATAAAACGTCTTTGATATCTAAATCTAAATCGATCTTTGAAATGTAAACATTTTTTACATATTTTTTTTTTTTTGTATTTTGAGTTTACCTTTCGTTGGATTCTCGATCTTGCAAGTTGCGTACGATAAAATATAACACACAATCTGTAATATTGGCTTAATAAGTATATTGAAAATAAACGAAACAGAAGATGATGAACACGTATCGATCTACCTTATCCATTCACTCCATGAATTACGCGTCACAAATCTTTGCTCGATGAAACATTACATCAATTCACTTGTTGGTTTGTAAAATTGGGTTGAAACCAGGAATCAAGTGAATATTGTACTCAACTAATATATTACTCAAGTAATATATTACTCAAGTAATATATTAGAGCGCTTCATTTATTACACACATTTGTATGATGAACATAATTGATTATATAATATATGCATGTTATTACAATATTTTAAAGTATATTGCTTCAAATTTATCCAAATGAACGCTTTAATAACTAAACATTATAACTTCGCGATATTAATTTAAATTGTAGTGAAACAAATTCTAAGGAACAGCTTTGAAATTAATATAATCAACATTAGTACTTGCATAACATTATACAAGCAACTATTTCCATAGTAAATTGAGACAGTTGAATTAATATACAAACTATATACATACAAAAATTGCTTTGTACTTTTGGTTGCTATGAATAAATATTAAATTAAGGATAAAACATTAAAGTATGCCCCTTTGACAAATGTGAGTGGCACAAAGATGGCTGGTTGATAAAAAAGTAAGTAATTGAACGTAATAAAGAATAAATATTGTTTTAATTTTAAAATACGTACATAATTGATATCGTTAGTGTATGGAATGACTAATACATCTATTATACGACCATATAATATTACCAATTAAGTGTAAAATGACGTGATAATGACGAAAAATAACCTACAATAAATAAAGTACAATCAAGTTCCGCTATATCGATAAAAAATACCGATTTTAATATCGATTAACCTCAACTTCAAAAATGAGAATATAATTGAGCAAAAAAATCTATAGAACTCGCCTTACATATGCCGCGATAGGGTGACCGCTTAACGAGGTCTTTCGAGCATATCTGCATACTTATCCGCGGGCATACCCGTCTAGTGAATTCCCGCTTTAGTATGTATTTTTAACAAATCTTCCTAATTTTTAGACTTCATGCGCTGTTTTAACATTTTATGAAATATTGTGAGACATATTTTTTAAAATATGTAGAATTTTAAATGAGAGATATTTTTTGACAATTTCTCTCTTTTTATATCCGATTATATTAAAAAAAAATGTGATTAGTTGCCATAAATAATATCTCATGCAAAAAGTAGCAACATCCTCCGAAACTGTTAAATTCTTGATAGATTTTAAAAACCCTAGGTGTTAGACATAAAAGTTTAAAATGTATCTCTTAAATGTGGCATTGCGTAGAACCCAATATGTTGCTCTGTATACAATAATGTACTAACTTAATTCAAATAGACATCTTATTAAGTAATTTTATTGTAAATATTCTACATGCTCATAGAAAGAGACATGGTATGTTTTGTTAGCTATAGATAAATTTCATTATAAACTACACCTCAAATCAGAACTGATAAGAAATCCATAGGGTGTTTTCCTATGTGTCAACACATGTGTTTAAGACACATTCATATTAATAAATTGAATAACTAATACATATGATATTCTTTTAATTTCAAAGTCTATAATCCCAGTGAATATTTAATTATACTTGTACTAATTTATATAACATACTTAAAATACGACTACGATAAATCATATAATACATAATGAAAATAGTTATATTAAACATGTTACTAAGATTTACGACTAAATTACAGTTTGTTATTAACAAAACAATTTATTTTCTCAGAATCATTGTAAGTCGCAATCTAGTGTTCTTTAAAGACACTATAAAATTTTAAACCTTATCTTAACGGTATTATCTTATGAATTGGCTTGACCTATCAATCAATTTCAAAATTCGATTTAACTTATTCAATAATATCATTAAGGAAGACCTGTGTTTCTACCAACACAATAATATGTACAATTTCTTATTTGCATTAATTCTTTAATAAATTTAATTCTGACGACACTGATTCAACAACACTTATTTCCGTACACAAGGAAAGAATACGAGAGCGAAGGGACTCTTACTTTAAATATATAAATAATATGATAAATAAGAATGAAAAGGTGAATATGCACGGATAAAAATGTTAAAAAAAAATTTTTTTTCGTAAAACCATAGGATCAATCTCATAAATGATCACAAAGTCACCAACTTAGATTCTTTAGTTCTATATTCAGTGCCTTATAACAGTTGAAGTATGGAAGGAAACGCATAATATATCCAGGAAAATAATGTAATCAGTGCTCAAGTTTTTTGTGTATTGATAACCGATTTTATTCAACATACTTCCAGTGTATAATTAAAAAATGTTTAATCCTCCCTAAAATACATTTCGTTCGTCGTTTTGACAGTCATGTCTGCGTATAACGGCACCGTAATTTTACATAGTAACGGTAAATATGATGACTAGTTTATTTTACCAACGTGTCAGTGACGTCACTCAGCGTCATATAACGGTAGCTCAATATATACTCGTCTATATTTCCTCTAACCAATTTGACGTCTAGTGTTATAATGCTAACTGTGTTAAAACATACTACATATTATGAAACTAATGCGAATATAAACTATTTCTAGTCAAAGACACTTGATGAATTTATCAGATAATTATTCTATTTTATAATTGTTATTTTACTATCCGTAAGTACATACTAATTCATTATCTATATAGACTGTTGTTAAGGTAGGCGATGAAATGGTAAATAACCCAAAAGTATTATTTGAGCGATGAAAGTAAGAGATACGTATTGCTGTCCATAGAACTCTGCATCGTTTCCGCGTATTACTGTCTTATTGTTGTACAGGGTGGAGTTAGTGACCTATAGCATCCCATACAACAAAACACAATAATTCTCGAAAACAATACAGAGTTCTATGAGGAGCAATATGTATCAGTTACTTTCATATAATACTTTAAATCAATGTTCTTTTGTCGCTTGTTCTAAGATCAGCATAGTTAGATATTATAACAAAAATCATACAATACATAAATGTGTACCTATTTAGGAATAAATAAATTACATACTAAAGAAGACTAGAGACAAATGAAGCTTATATTATCGATGGATGATGAAGTATATTTTCGATATCAAGACATTTCCAAATGAGCACCTAAATATTTATTACTTTTAAGTTACAAACCTATTCTGACTACTTTTTATGACCATAAGGTATATTTGCACCATTTTAAAATTCATCATAAGGAGAAAATAAAAGTGTTATTCCACTATCAATATTAATACGAAGAATAAAAAAGTAACAAATATATAAATATTTTAAAGATGTTAGTAATAATTTATTTATAAAAATCCCATCTAATGTGAAAATATGAATTGAAATAACTCTTTTACCTTACTGAATTTAATCAAAATCAATTATCATCTTAGTAACTAACTTCAAACTAATATAGAACTAGTCCAATTTAAACTAAAGATATTTTCTCTGATAACGCGTCTTTTTCGGAATAGGTGATTAACTTACATATTTTATACTGTTTCAAAATTTCTCTAATTTTTATCGTGTAAATTCATAAAAAATGCCATTCTACACTATAAAGTACTTGTTTTATTTAAAACTTTAATCTCACTCCTCTTTATTGTTATAGTATTTTAATATATATTTTCATTTATGAAAAAAGTGACTTCGGTGGAATAAAATCACAAAAATGCAATGTACAGTAAAACACAACTAATATGACTCACTAATGTCGGCAGCGCGGCAAATCCAGTAGGTTTATTCTAATAATGTTCATGTAATAATCGTATCTTAATAGAATCTTAACTACTTGCAATTAGATATTGTACCATCCAACTAAACTCCAATATTGCTCTGCCTTCCTCGCAAATCAATGGTGGGGCGACATATGTATAATAATATTGGACTTGAGATAGATAATAGAATGTGAGTGAGATGTTACACTAAGCGTGATTGATTATAAATTTCAATCATTTCGATCAACAATCTGCAGTAGTTCTAGTTTACCGACACGCCATATTTGTTCGGTTTTACTGTGCCACATTCGTATTTACATTATGGCACATCCGGATGACACGTCATCGCGCGGTGACGGCGGCGGACGCTGTGGCGCCACCGTCGCGGGCACTATTGGCTCTTGAGCGGCGGGAGATTCTTTCCTCATAGTTTGTTTGATTACTTCTTGAGCTTTCTGCGGTGGAGGTATTTTAGTCTCTTGCACGGGTGACTTAGTATCTTGGTTCAATGAGCCTGTACTAGAAGTCCTTACCCGAGATTTTATCATCGACATCCGGCGCTCTCGTGTGTTGATTATAGACGTGAGGAACGGCACTTGGTTGCTGATAGCCAACATGAACGGTTTGTAGCCGACGCTGTAAAGAAATTAATAAACTATTGGAATATTTATTGATTAATCGATACCAATGCAAAATTAGAGGTAATTCCTTTATGAGGGCTGAAATAAGAATTTTATTTTTCCTAATATTTTAGGGTAGGTTTGAAGTTCAACGATATTATGATATGTGGGCTATTGAAGTTGTGACGTAGTTGACGTCATTGGCTGCAGGGAGTGTCGTCGATACACTCACCATTCGGCGTCGGTCCACGCGGCCAGCTGTCGCGGCCGTCACACGTGTGACGTCACCGGCTGGAAGTCAATGCACTCACCACTCGGCGTTGATCTACGCGGCCAGCTGTTGCAGCCGTGACGCGTGAGACGTTACCAGCTGGAAGTCAATGTACTCACCACTCGACGTCGGTTCACGCGGCCAGTTGTCGCAGCCGTGACGTCTGTGACGTCACCGGTTGGAGGGCGTTTCACTCACCAGTCGGCGTAGGTCCACGCGGCCAGCTGTTGCAGCCGTGACGCGTGTGACGTCACCGGCTGGAAGTCAATGCACTCACCACTCGGCGTCGGTCCACGCGGCCAACTGTTGCAGCGCGGCCCGCAGCCGGCGCACGGCGGGGAGGGCGACGTCGTGTGACCGCGCCGCGTTGCAGCACCGCAGCACAGCGAGTGCGTCCCTCAACACCACCGCTATCAGTGCTGCCCATTCAACGCAACTGGCCTCCGTCATCAATTGAAGGAAGTATCTGTGAACAAGTAAGATTATATAATCCGGTCGCACATTTTCGGATCTCAACGAGTTGCATTGTAACTAGAAAAAAAAATGATACTGATTATATGCCTTGTGATTTTTTTTGAAGTTATTTTTTAATGGATTTTTTCATGGATAAACATTCCACTTTTTGTCACATTACTCCAGAATACTTTTATAAATCGCTCTTACAGATTTTATCTTGACGTTGACATCTATTTACTTCATACAACTGACTGTATAATTCTAAAATCATATTATTATTATCAGATTGATGTGAGGCACATAATGTTATATATACCGTAGTTGTACGTGTGCTGAGTGCGATCCTCTCGTCGCCTGATGCAGATGTAATCGTTCCATGAGCGCGGCGTATCTTCTCTCCTCGCCCCCCTCCGTCGCCCACGCCACCCCGCCCCCCTCCGCTACACTACACGATCCCACCGATCTACATAATCATAAAAACGCCCTTAGACTTGGGACAACCAGAAGAAGTGAATTTCAAGTTCAATGCTGCAGCATTTCATCTGTTTGAATAAATTTATTTTTTAAGGGAGCATTCCCAAAGGGACTCTATTACAAAGACTCTGTCTGTCTGTCACCAGGCTGTATCATGATTTTTTCACAGAAAAGTTAGACCATGAAATTTTCACAGACGAATGTAGTTGTTATGACAACAAATACTAAATACCATAATAAAATAAATATTTAAGGGGGCTACCATACAATTAACGTATTTTTTCGTATTTAATCGACAATGGTATGGAACACTTCTTGCGTGAGTTCGACTTGTTCTTGGCTGGTTTCTTCATTAAAGAAGAAGAAAGAGAATCAGTCATTCTATCAATGAATAACAAAACGCTTTCAATTCGCATATCACAGGGTCAGAACGATCATAACTGCTGGAGATCGGGGGTTTTCCTTTTGGAACTCACCTAATATAAACCATAAAAAATAATTCAGCCCCATTTTTATTTAACGATAGTCGCAATAGATAGACAATAATTTTAGTGACGATATAAGTTTTGCAACATTACCTCGCGGGCTCCGGTGATAATGGTGGTGCGGTTCGCAGCGGTAAACTGACGTAACCGCTATCGCCACAAACACTATCCGACTCCGCCGAAGTACTATATGTACCTATAAACAAACAAAATATGACGAGCTCAAAAACGCAGTGGTTAACACGTTCGGTCTGCGATGCGGAAGTTAAGCAGCTTTCGCAAGGGCCGTTCATAAAATGAGAGACCAAAATTTTATTATCTCGAGTTTCTCTATGTTTTGGAAGCCATGTTAAGCCAATGGTCCCAGCTTTATCTGCAACAGTTAACACCCACCGGTTCGCACTGAGCCCACGTGGCCGGTGATGGCCTATTCTATTCTTTCGAAAAGGTCTGTGCCTCAACAAAGAGGACATTAATAGACTAATGTTTTTTTTTGGTCTGGGTGTTGTGTACCACAACATCGGCTGCACGTTACATTACCACAGTAGGTTGAAATTTCTCCAGTTGATTAAAAACTAATCTTAAAGCTTCAAGGTTTGAAATTTTTTACATTTGTATAAATTTTGATGCGGTATTTTTTTTTCATAGATTGCGTAGCGTAGTTTTAAAGATTTAAGCATACACAAGGATACAGGGACAGAGAAAGCGATTTTGTTTTATACTATGTAGTGATTCTAATGTAAAGAAGCAGAGAATTAACATTTTTTTTTAGTTTTTAAAGTGTGTTGATGAATTGAGTAGTAACTCTTGATACTTATTTTTTTAAACAATTATTTATTGAATATTCGTTAACATGTCGACTCCTACAATAAAACGAATTATTAGTGGAGGAGAAAATATGAAAACATTTTTAAACGCCAGGGAAAAATAAATTTTGATTAATATTTATTTTTCCTTGGCGTTTTAAAATGTTTTGCAATATAATGCAATATTGCAAAGAACATGGAAATTCTTTTATCTTTGAGAAGTATAATCCTACGCGGTGTATCATAGGCCATAATTTACGCTCGCGAAGTTGCGACAATAGCAAGATGTTTATAAAATTAATATGATTAAAACTGTTTATAAAATTAATATAAATAAAGCTATTTTTTATTTAGTTTATTTCATTAGTGGGTTGCATTTAAACTTACTCGTAACAGTGCTACCCTTCCGCTGCAAGTACTGTTCAGTGTCCGTGACAGCAGGATACGGCCACGCGAAGTCATCATGAAGTCTTTTAATACAAAGCACCGCGTTATCGACCCTAGCAGCTCTCTCTCTCTCGCCGGCCAACCACGCAACAAGATGTAGATCTAACGCGGCCGCCATCTTGCCTAACGCGAGCAAGCGAGCCGACGATAGTAAAACACGCGCGTGCCTCTGTATCATCATGTCGATGAAGAACTCTTCAGCGGTGCCACTGTAGCTGTCTCTGCTAGGAAAAAGACGATATAATGTATAGTAAGTACAATTAGCTTTTATACTAGAGTACGTAAGCCAGATTTTAAGACATTACTCGACCAGTAAGAGAGAATAGATCATGGTATCCCATATGCCTGATTGAATACTCTCACTTACTAGGCATAGGACAGCAAAAAAAAAACCTAATGAGTTGCCGCGATCTTCCCTATCTTTTTAACGGCGTTACAATGCCATGTTCACGGAGATTAAGTATAAGTTGACTACAATATAAATATCCATTATTTAATAAGATTACGTATTCACTAAAAATAATTAATAAGCTGTAATAAAATATGGCAAATATAAAACATATTTGTAATGATTCCATACCATAATATCTTAAAATTAAAAGTAAACAACCCGCAATCGTGGAACGTAACTGCGGCGGCAACTGTCAGATTAGTCTTATAGATATGCTTAATAATTATAAATCTAATACCTAGATGGCGCTGTTCTTATCTAATATAAATATCTTTCAATTTCGAAATCGATCGTTAAATGGCATTAGTCTTGTTTTCCTGACATCTTTTAATCTTCTACTCTATGCATCTGCTTTGTGTACATATTACAATGACGATAATGACAATAATTATATAATCATATGATAATTACAATATTTTGCGAGTAATTAAATAAAAACAGTTTTGGCACTTATCACCTTTCTCTTATGCTTAATATATCCGTTTTTCTCTGTTTGTCTCTAAAAAAGGCTTTAAGTTGTTTCAGTCATGGCCGCCCTATTGAGATCGGAGGTCTGTGAAACTCGTCGCTTAGTTACACATTCGCGAATCCAAATAATATCACTTTAAGCCATTGGTCCCGACTGTATTTGCAGTCTTTATCACACTCCAATCCGCATTAGGCCAGCGTGGAGGGTCATGGCCCATTCTCCTTTATCATCCATAACGAAGGCCTGAGCCTCAGTAGTGGGGTCGTAAAGGGTTGTTAATGATGACAGATCGAGTTTATCATGCTCATATCGACATTATTTCCCTCTGGACACGAGAGAAATTTAGACCAAACCTTTATATAATTCGTTATGAACGCGTTCGTCACGGTTGCGCAATCGGTAGAATTTAAAGTAGAATTTCGTACGTTAGCCTTTGCGCCTACTGATAAGTATCGTAAACATTTAAGGTTCACATTACTACGTCAAAATTGGCTGAATGCATCTATACGAGTGCAATATTTTTGCGCACGAGTAAAAGAGATTGTAGTAGTGGGTCGTTGTACGAAATACTTTCTGTTTGGCAACCGTGCCATAAGCGTGTTATCGAGTAATACCTCTCGGAGCGTGCGGGCACAGATTTCTTCCGCTTGACGGCGGCGGTGGCGCGGGCGGGCGGCGCGGGCGGCGCGGGCGCTGCGTGCGTGGCGTGCGCGTGCGCGGGCGGGGACGGCTCGCGCGGCGACACTGTCGTACTGAAGCTACGTCCACGACCGCCAGACAACTGACAAGCGTGCCATTTTATACATATTAAATAACTGAATAGGGAATGTGCGTTTGATTCAAAAGAGGCTTAAATATATTTTACTACGATCATTATTGCTTTAGAATAAAGTCTATGTAATTTTTTTCAACATTAAAACGTTTTCGACTTGAAAATAACTATTAAAAAATGCAGTAACTTCAAAATATTTAAACGTTATGCTACTTGTCAGAGCGGATGTGACGGAAATGTACACCTATAGTTAACATCGATGCAATAAAATCAATGTATTATGTAACAAACTGATCAACAGACTACAATTTAAATGATGTTTAAGGCTTTGATTTTTATTTCACCAATTTGGTAAACTACATGATTATTAAAAATCTACTATACTTAAAAAATCGATTAGTTGTTATTCGATTTGGGCAATCGAATAATAACAAATCACTCAAAATCAAATTGATTTAAAATGTCATTACTCTAGTGTTGTACTTTGACGTCACGATAAGCGCGCAATAAAACCGGCGTTTGAACTGCTGATAGTTGTTACTTATTTTCATCAATTATTATAGTTACAAAATTTTAGTTTTTCGGTGCCAGGTATTTTTGACAGTTATGAGAACGGCGTAAATTATCATATAAAACATTTAAAAAAATGTACATAACACCCTATTGGCTTCTTTGACTGTTTTCGGGAAAGTATTTTAAAACTTTTATAAAATCATATTATGCCACTATTAGACTTCTTTTTCTGGTTGCACTCATAACAAAGACTTTGACGTTTAATGAAATGTGACGTCCCACTATGCTCTGTTGCCGTTTGTTTGTGTGCCACCCGCGTTGCGGTTCTTTTAATCCACAGATTTAATTTTACAAAAATAAAATATACTAACAATTTATTTTAAAACAAAATATACTATATAGTACTGTTTACATATAAGTAACCATTTTAAACATATTTCATGATAAAATGTTATAACTGTCATGCAGTCAATCAACAGATAATACTTATGAACTAAAGCGTAAAATTACCTGCATGTTTCCTAATATGACAGATAGATCCTCAGCGTTGGGACTGACAGCCTGGGAGTATGTAATCTGTCCATACTTCGCTTGCACGTTCACGGAGTTCCGCGGTGAATCTACATCATTCGGATCTGTCAAGTTACAAACAACAATAATAATAATAATGAGACGTATCTTCACGTCAGACATCTTGCGGAGTCGAAATCTGCCTAGATTGATGTGGCGCTTTAAGACACTATAGCATAAATAATAGGTAATAGCTATTGAGTTGGCAATCTAAAACAAAAAGGTAGTGTAGTAGGTAGTATTGCGATAATTATAAAAAATCATTTTCTATGTCAGCCGAGATTCGAAGTCGGGACCTCAGAAATGGCAATTACTTAAAACTGGCGTGTGAGTCACTCAACTATAAAATTTGTATAACAGAATAAAAAAGAACAATAAATAAACACTTAATATCACTGATATTGAGAGATTGTTTTAATTAAAACTTCAAAACTCTACATATTTTTTACGAAATAAGTATAACCTAAAAAACTACTGAGCATTTAAATACGAAAATAAATCAATAGTATACCAGTAACAGCACTGTTACTACTCATTAATTATACAATAATAACCGTGTAATTAAATAACAAAATACCGGATGCATGTAGAACATAGAGGAAATATTATTTAACTCCTTTGTTTTTTATGTTTTCAATGTAGCGTTAGTGAAGTATCTATATTAATATCATAAAGAGACAAAGATTTTAACTTTGTTTGTTTGTAGCGTTTATACCTAATCTTCAAAAATATTGATCCAACTCTGAAAATTCTTTCACCTACATACGCGGGTGATATAAACTATAATTTACACTGATAAAATCGCGAAAAAACAGCTAGTCTTTTTAATAAATTAAGTTTACATTTCAATAGTAAATTTTTGAAGTAAACATCTTTGTAGTTGTCATTTATTTGAAATAGTTACAACAAAAGATATATTACACAAAGTACCATTACGCTATAGCTCAGCCCTTTCCAACGTGTGGTTGCTCTAAAAAGGCTGAGATATGCTGTTATAGATCAGTAGAATTGTTATTTCAAGAGATATTTTATACTCTCCATAAATCTCTGTCAGATATACGCACGCACACGCGTGAATATGGTGCGATTTAATTTATTGTTTTTTTCTTCCTTTTAATTCTTTCTTTCTTCTGCGATATTAATGGCTTTTTGTGCATTTTCACAAATATTCACACTTTGACTTGACAGTTATCAATAGTTGTACTGTCCCAAGTAGCACAGAAGGAATTATAATTATCCATATGTGGACCTCATTATGGCAATAGGCATTAAAAAAGATTTATAGAGGTTTCCCCAACATCCTAAAGCCGTAAAATTGAATTCATTTTAACTTCGTATGCTAAAGGTTGCGTAAAAGCTGAATAATGGAGAAAACAAATGCCTTTTTAATGCATTTAGTGTAATTCTGTCTGATTGTAATGCCATTATACTGCTTAAAGCATACTTTTATATCTAAGGTAACGTAAAAGAATTGTAAGAGTAGGCGCAAAATGCCAATGGTTCTATAACAGACACTCGTCATACCATTTTGATGCTGAATTTTAAAAGATGTAAGAATAACTATTTTAATTCTTAAAGTCGAATAAAGTCAGTGTATGGGACAGTAATGGATCAATTTTAATGCTGTTATTCTGCTTTAGGCTACTTTAAATTCCTTGAGTTCTATAAAAGAACTTAAAGAGAGGTAGAAAATGGCAAAGGTTCTGTAGAATGGATGGGTTACACCATTTTGATTCTGGCATTTTAAATGGGTGACTGTCATTCTTTTATAATTCTTAAGGCAATAAAAGAAGGCAATTTAGAGCGTCCTGAAGAGTAAAAGAATTTTAATAGAATTAATACGCCGTCGTATGCGTGTGTGGTTGAAAACAACAAAATGCTATCGTCTACGAAAAAAAAGGTAAAATCGTGGAAAACGAAAGCTAGGACTGGAAAAGGAAAAAAGGAATTTTAAAGGTTCATTTCATAGCCAAAAGAATTGTAGTGGAACTATAACGTACTACAATTCTGCTTAAATACTCCGCCATTAAATCGCCATTAATCGCCTAACCTAACACGATATTTCATGTAAATATTATAAGTAAACTATAGATGTAAGCTATTACTTATTGCTCAATTTACAATTCTAAAATATATATATAAGTCTCCTAAATATAAAACTGTGGACATAACAACCAAACACATAAATATTTAATTTTTCATAGGCACTTTTTCTATATAATATTTAACTAAATACTCATCATATTCGAGGCGCATAAAAAAATTCAATAGAAATGTATATGGACATTAACAGTAAACTTGCCTCCGCAAGACTATTTCACGTATTAACCATCTAACACCCAATACAATATTAACAAATTTAATAATACTTATAGTTAATGGCGTCGCACCTCTGTTTTATCACAGTCACTGCTGCTGCACATCACACAAATGTTTTGAATGTAAAAAAAAATACGAACTTTATAAAATACACCGCATATACGACACTATTGCGCTTTAAGAATTGTAATGGGTAAAAGTTGGACTTTTTTAGGGGCTAAAGAATGCTAAAATTCCATTACGGTGCCTTTTTAGTACTACTATACGGCTATAATCGTCACTGTGTACCTTATTGATTCCATTACAATGCTATTTTAATGCCTTTTGGCACCCGCGTAAGCCTAAGGCACTAAGATTTGTGCCCAAATCAGCATTGTTATGGAATTTTAAGCGCTTAAAATTCTTTTTTATGGCAAGTTTATGCTGCTTAAAGCATCTGAAAATGCCATTATTCACCCTTTATTCAGCTTTTTGTGCTACTTGGGGTGCCATCAGATTCTGATACACCTACACCTATTTATTTCTCGTATTAAAATAACAAGACTGCTGTTGAAACTTGAATAAATAAATAAAAATCCAAAAATTTGTATTTGTATGTATAATCATACCTATAGCTCTGAGGAATCGTACCAGGTCCCGGGCGAGGTCCCAGCGCTCCAGCTGTAGCGCTGTGTCCAGAAGTTGCGTCGCCAGCTGACGGCTCACTGCCGAACTCTCTAGATTCTATGCGCCATCAGGAAAAATGTAGATTAGATTACTGTGTACAACTTTTAATCTTAGTTAAAATTGAATAACTCTGATTGAAATGAACTGAACTCAATCACTATATAAAAAGAAAATATAGTAATTTTACCTTTGTACGCTGCAAAAAGCAAATATTAATGTTAAGTTGTATGCAATAACCGCGAAAATCAAACGAATCATCAGAAGATTGGAATACCTGTAGTATGATGAGATATGAGGCAGCGGTGTCAAGCATTTTTCTTTGAAGGCATTCTTGAAATAGCTCCTTAGGTTTGCCAGCCGCGGAAAACAGGTAAGCCCACAGAGCTATTTCGGTCTTCCTCGCACATTGAACTACGGTCTGTGAGTTAAAGAACGATTTACATTTTCTGTTTAGAATGAAATATCGACAGCGACTTCTCCCTGTAGTGAAGGATTTCATCACTTTTGAACCCTGAGGTTTTTAAACCAGTACAAAAAAATTGTATTATTCTTATTTAAATTTTAGAAAAAACCAACACTGTCTTAAAACTATATTCAGGGTTCCGTACCGAAAGAGAATCGAACAGAAACAGGAATCCTACTACTAAGACTTTGCTGTCTATTTGTCTGTCATCAGGCTGTACCTGAACCGTGGAAGTTAGACAGTTGAAATTTTCACAGATGATGTATCAAATCAAATCAAATCAAATCAAATCAAATCAAATCAAATCAAATCAAATCAAATCAAATCAAATCAAATCAAATCAAATCAAATCAAATCAAATCAAATCAAATCAAATCAAATCAAATCAAACAAATCAAATCAAAATCAAAGATATATATCTAAGAACCAGAATAAAATAAATATTTAAGTCAAGTACATAAAAAGTAATTATTTTTTGCTCGTTTCTGGTACGGAACCCTAAGTGCGCGAGTCTGACTCGCACATGGCCGGTTTTTTTTTTAATTTATGACATTTGATTCTCGTAGGGACACGTTAGCCGATATTGAGTTTCTGATAGTTAGAATACAGCATTTGACAACAAACATTGAATATACCATGTTTTTATGTCACGATATTTTGGTAGACCTATTCACTTAAGATGGTGACAAAATAATCACAATTAGTGTCTCCATGTCTCACCTGTAGATACACGGGGAACTCGTGTACGAACTCGATGACGCTGGGCAGCTGAGCATCAGGTATTGGCTCCTTGCTCGTAGCCTCTTCCTCTAAGACCTCGTGAAGTAGCAGCTCCAACGAGTGAGGGAAGTATGGCAACTGAGCGCATGACCGTGCTATTTCCCACGCGTGGTATCCCAAGTTGCGGCGTAATAGTTGCCGCAAGATTTGATGCAGGTACACTTGACTCTGTGACCGATTATTAAATAAGAAACCACATACCTACCGTCTATCAGGTTCGATTTGTAGAAAATTAACATTACCATATTGCCTCCTCGAGTCTAGCTGTTGTGGTACCTTCGTTGTCTCAGATCAGATACTTTATAATATGGAGGCTTTAGCTACTACTCATCTTGGAATGTGAGCAATGTATGTGATGTTGTCTATTTTATTTTTTTACATTACACCTATTTTGTGCCCTTGACATTCATACATAAACTGCTGTCTTTTACGATGCTTATTGTCTTTTAAGAAATAACTAAAATTTTGATCACGGCCTGTACGAAGTTGATAACTTCTGAAATCACAGACAGAAAGCGCTAACACTATAGATGCGTCACGTTTCATCTGCCGCGTAACATCAGAACAGACAGATATGTGATTTGACACCAACCTTGCTACTCAATACTTAATGGACGATCTGTTGAGATTTATGCCAAACCTTAAACTTTATAAAAAAATGTAGAATTGCAGAATCGCTATTTATTAAGACATTTTATTTGAATCATAGGCTAACCATACTTACAGTTCTATTAACGACGCAAAACGGTAGCGAAAATACCGAATTCGAGTCGGAAGCATACAGGGTAGTGTCGTTTTCTGCGCCCAGAAGGATCGCATCGTCGAATAATATTGCTGATAACAAATTTGTCACAATTAATGTAGAGTACTGCTTATAAAACTATTTATGTCTATCAACAATCCCAACACTAGCAATCCCGTCATTGCTGCTTTAAAAATGTCATGTTAGGGTAAGGGTCGGTGCATATCTGACAGAACATGAATCTCGTACTCGTGACTGGTCAGTTGAGATACATCAGAACTGACAAATTATATAATATGACTTTCGACCTTGCATTCTCTTCGGAAATTCCGTCGCGTACTAGTTTATATTTCCGTGAGACGCTTGACGGATTGTCCGTCAAATTTACACCGACTCATATGAAATTAACTGTTTTAAGTTCAAATCAGACCCTTTTCGCTAACCGGATAAGATACTTAAAGCTTACGATTAAGACAAAAATGCGTTTATAATTTATTTTTTTAGTCAATATTTCTGTTTTTATATCCGTATATATACGGCAAATATTTGAAACTCTCTGGAATCGAACGAGTGATCTTTTGCGAATCGGGCCTCAACAATATATTATTCTTAAAAAACTAAATTAAATATTAACACAGTCACATGATATATCTCTATCAATTTATATAATACAGCATTCATAAAAACTCACTCAAAGGATATATGTCCAAGTGGAACGGCAACATGATCCGCTTAGCCATGAACGTGTGTCGGGACGTGTCAGGGTGTCTGGTCGCGTCGCGCGGCAGCAGAGGTAACCACACGCGCGCTCCGAGCGCCCCGCACCATAACCATAGAGCGCGGGACAACTGCGTGTGGGACGGCGATGATGACGTACCACCACGGGACCATACGCTTTCCACACAAGACGCCAGCACTGTAGCCGGTAGGCAGCTGTATGCCTGCAACGAAATTATATGTTATGGCTAGCTTCCATTAAAATATGTAAAAGTAACGGATAATATTAAATGACATGTAATCTTGCACACTCAAGGGAAGATACGTCGCGTACCGCGTACTCTTCCATCAGATTTGTACAGACCTTTACCAGATTACAAGGCGCAAAGTATTTATTCGAGCAAATTCAATTCCAGTAAAATAAATAGTTGTGAAAACTATCATTAACTAACTGTGATCTAGAGTAAAGAATAACAATTTTCAAAATGATTCCATGGCTAATATCATCTTGCCTCTTTCATTCACAAACTTCCTTTATTGTTTTCTATGATTAAATAGTAAAAAAATCCCATCGTAGATTATTATTACAAATTATATATAAAAATGTTTTTGACTACAAGTAGTTAGCTTTTTGATGTTTAAAATTCTACCATTACATGCCATTTTTTTCAACGAATGCGCTAATTTCAGCATGTTGTTAAATGATCGATATTACACCAACAACGAAATGGAAAGGAAGTTTGTTTATAACGGCTGTTCTTTAATAATCATATGCTCGAATATTTTTCTTTAATGTTTCAAGTACATGCACGAATATCAAGTTCACGTGATTACAACATACGAAGTGTTATACAATAATATAATTAGCGACTATTCCATTGACCGACATAGGGTAGCGTTCAACTAGAAGCAACACTGCGTGGACGCAGTGGGGCGATTCTGTTGTAGACGATATTAGATATAAATTCCTAAATCACGATGTTTCTTTTAAAGAAACCATTACAAAGAAAAATTCCTAAAACTCATAAAAAAGAATTGACTTGAACCACATCTATGGCATATTTGATAGGGCATCCATATCTATATATATAACTTATTATATAATTATCTTTTAAAATATCTATGTAAGAACAAAGTTATAATTATTTAACAATTTAATTATTTTTTTCATGCATCTGGAAGTAGGATAATCATCATTCTACCCCGAAGGCATACGGCGTGAAGATATATATATTAAATGATTAATAAATAACATATTGGTGACTTCATATAATTCAAATAAACTGATAAAAAACAGGCTAAGTTATTGCGAAATAAAAAACATATCTTTTCTTTAATGTATTTATTAGTAAAAAAGGTATATAAGTGGATTTAAATATTGCACCCGCGAAATTGGAATCACCCATCGATCAACTGGAGCGAAACGTCGCATTAACATTTCAACCGTATTGCGTCAAGACACGCACCACAACTCGATAGAAACATTAGTAATAACAACATTTTTCACTTATACTAGAGCAATAAAGGATAACGATGTCATTGTTTCCGACCAACTGATTACACATCGAATATTATTCTGCAATCCCGAAAAATTTAATTAAGAAGCAAATCATATGCTAACACAATTAACATGCGTAAATAATGTAGCAATATCTATATTCATTCGGAATGATAACGCTCAATTAGAGGTGGTAATTGGTTTTGACGCGGGCACGTCCGACTCGGCGAGTTCCCGATGCATATTTGAATGCGTTTTCACCATACCAAGGCTGTTAAGCGTAAACGAGGAAGCCTGATGCAACCCTTAGCACTTGTTGTTTAAGCCGACGGGTCGCTGCGCTCGTGAAACAGTACACATCCGGCGTACTAGGACGCGAAGGTCTTAGGTAATGCTATAAATTAACTTAGATCGGTTCTGAGACGATCAGTGCGTTTTTGACAGTTAGCGGTCAGCGGGTCTCCGTCAAGATGAACAGTTTCTTAGCGGTCGGTTGAAAGAAAAGACGTTTGTTATATCAAAGAGAAGTTTTTAATTTCAAGTGAACGATATTAGATAAAGTATAAAATGCGGCAATAAAGAGAAGAAAGTATTTGTGTAAATTGAGCAAAGGAAAATCGGAAATATTTTTTAGAGATTTATAAAAGAATTTAAGCTTTCAAGTGTTTAATTCTAACGTTATTTAGAAAAATATTTGATACGAGCTTTTTTTTATGTTTCAAATGAGAATAATGTGCCAATTTAGTTAAATAGTGCTATTTTTTCAGATAACATGTCTTTTGGCCTTCACGGCATCTTCTAAAGCAGACGGTTTGGGCGGTCTCGTTTATGCTCCAGGACATGCCTCTGCTGACTATTATGTAAGTTGCAACTAAAGCCAAACATGAACATGTTTGAAAATACGGTAAGATTTAATTTGTTATCGCATTCCAGACGTATCCGAAATATGCGTTCGAATACGCAGTAAAAGATCCTCACACTGGTGACAATAAAGCACAATGGGAAAAAAGAGACGGCGATGTCGTAAAAGGTAAATAAAAATCTAAATTATAAAATATATTCAATAAAAGTATCATATTATAATATCTGTGGTAAAACAGAAAACAAGCAGAAATTTAAGTATCAAAATTGATCACAGTACAACCGATAGCAAACATTAGCTTTCTCTCACTCTTTCCTATACTGTATTGTGATCTAATTCTGATTAAAATCTCTCCATGAACGCACTTCAAAAGTAGAAAATACATATATTGCAACTTCTTTTAAATAAGTACTAGTAATGTAGCACCTCTTAACCTGTACTACTTTTAATAGGTGCCTATTCACTCGTGGAACCTGACGGCAGTCTGAGAGTAGTGGAGTATTATGCTGATGACAAGTCTGGCTTTAACGCAGTCGTCAAACGAGTCGGTCCGAATCTTCATCCGACTGTTGTACCTGCAGCACCCATATACAAAGCGCCCATACCGGTTCTGGCGAATCCCGGACCAATTGCTCCAATTTCAATCGGACCGGTAGCTAAATACACGGGATTAGCGAGTGCCCCGCTCATCACTGGCCCGGTCTTAGGTGGAGCAGTGTCTTCTGTCAATCTATACAAAGACACATCGCCTGTAATTGTGAAGTCTATCTTGCCTGCTCCTGCAACCCCGATACTGCCAGCGCCTATAGCTCACGCTCAAATACTTCCATCGCCTATTGTTCCCGCATCGATAGTTAAACTCCCTATTGCCCCAGCACCTTACATTCCTTCACCAATAATTAAAACCTCTCCGTATCTTAGCGCGCCAAGTCCGATCATCTCGCCATTAGGAGGATGGGGCGGTTTGACGGCGGCACCACTGGCAGCTCAAGGGCACTTGGCAGAACTCGGCCAAGGTTTGCTCTACAAAGGTTCTCTGCTACCATACGCAAAGTTGGGAAGTCTAGACTACGACCACTAAAACAGGTAAAACCTGATGTTATCTACTGAAATCGCCTGACGTAACTGAGTTGACGCCGCTACGCTTTGACTGCCATTATATTTAAAATTTCAATCTTAAGGAATGAACCTCATATTTTTTGTTGTTTTAATATTTATATGAATACTTATAAGTTAATAAAAACGAACATAATTAAAGCAAATACCACTGTGTGGTGATATAAATAGTTGTTTTATTGGACAAAAACAAAATCCGTTTTATTGTATTAAGAGAATTACGAGAATTATGTTGTAGTCTTAGATAATAAATGGAAACCGACCTGTGGAATAATAGAGATATTTTCAAGAATTATAATGATTTAGTCGAAACTTTGAATCTTAGTTTGCGCTGTTAAAGTATTAGTGTGTACTTGTCGATAATATTAAATCGTTTAGAAATAAGTTACCATTTCCAATATATTTCATATTTTATTGTAATAACTGTCAAGTAGCCAATTAACGCAGTTATTCAGGTTATAATATGTAATCGATATTAATCGCCAATAGTCGTGAACTAAGGTAGGAAAACTGGCACCAGTAAAGAACAGGTTACACTCGTCTTCGAGCCTCAGGAGTAGCATAAAAAGGCTTACTATACTTATAAGCATTCATTGTGTATCTGACCAGCCTACTGATGGAAACCATGGATTTACACCTGATGGTAATTATCATATAACTGTAAAGAAGTATAAATTCTAGCTTTTTAAAATACTTTGGTATAAGACGTACTAGTTTTATACTAAACTCAATATTTACTGAAATTATACTTTGCTATGGGAAAATATTGAGTATTCAAATTTAAAAGTAAAGATAAAAATTAATAAAAAACATGTAGCTATGCCAAAACTTGAATCTCTCTGAATCAATTGAGTAAATTTCTTTTTTAAATATCCGTTGTCCGAGGGTGTACACTTTAATGAAAAAAAAAAAGTTTTTATCTATATAAAGCCACGGTGGGCAACAGCCGGCCCGGGAAACATTTTGAAAAACCTAATTTACGATTATAATAACATTGTCGTATTATTTCAAGTTTGATATCTATCGCAAAAAAATATGAGCACTACAACACTACTTTATAATGTACTACTTTTAAACACTAAAAGTTTGGCCCACAACATGTCAAAGGTTGCCCATACCTCTATTTGAGCCTCTTATTGAGTATAAAATCAATAAAAGGCTCAAATAGAGCCTCTCTAGAGTTCGAAGATGGTATAATATCCGGTAAAATCAGGTAAATGTCAATTTTTGGTTAAAATAATCACCTTACGTATTGCGATTTTCAGATAGCTTGTGTGTTGATGCTAACGACAGCGTCGGTGTCAAGTATTTTTATTCAAAAGGTGCCCATAGTTAAACATATTGTGAGTATTTAACATATAATACTTTAATTATATTGCTACATTTATATTTTTATAACGTATGATAATTCTTAATAGGAGAGCCTTAACTACGCCTTCAACTATGCAGTGAATTCTCCGTACACACAAGATAACAAAGCACAATGGGAAACGAGACACGGGGATGTGGTCAAAGGATCCTATTCATTGGTAGAGCCCGACGGAAGTCTAAGAGTGGTAGACTATACTGCCGACAAACTGCATGGTTTCAACGCTGTCGTAAAGAAGATAGGACCTAATGAGCATCCTACGCCACTGAAACCAGCGATAGTGCCCGTAGCACCAGCTGTAGCACCCGTGGTCGCACCGGTTGTTCCTGTAGTCGCAACGGTCGCTCCCGTAGTCGCGCATGTTGCAGCCGCAGCACCTGTGGCTCCTGTACACTACGGATTCGGAGGTGGACCTTCTGCAGTCAGCCATTCTAAGACAATAATCGGACCATTGAGCCTGTCTTGGGACCCCAGCACACGTTCCTACGGTGGATGGAGACCCTTAACGTCTGGACGATACGCAACCATAATAAACAAGAAATATGTCGGAGGAAAACTGTACAAGTGGGCTACGGGTCCTATTCCTTTACCACATGGCAGCAAATTAGTATTCACGAAGAATCATTGAATGCAAACTTCTTTTGAGAATTGTGATTTAGTATTTTAGAAAAATTTCAATAACTGAAAAGATGTTTGAGATTGCTAAAATTATTTAAGTTACTATCTATGACATAAACCAGCTACCTGAATAAGTTTAAGGAAAACTAGTCCTATTGTACATAAACTAATAAGTTCGTAATGTTAAAATAAAGTATAGAATAAAATATACGTAATTTTTTTTTGTACAAGAAAAGGCATTTAGCGTAATCCGATCCGAACATCTATTAAACATTATACATATATAATCATTGAACTCCTAATTAATTGATGAAATAGATTGAACCTAAGATATAATTTATTACGTCGTCTATTATTGTAGTTACCAACTCAATTACTTTTTGTGCATCTACCGAAATCTACAAGATAGCAACCCTCCTCATGATAATCTAAAAACAATAATCTATATGCCTTCACAACTTCATTTCTATCTGCAACGAGTTTTTTCATATACCATTTGCACATTAATCCTTCATTTCAAGTTTTAAGAAAATAATTTTTGGAATTATTTAAATGGTATAACAGCTTAAAATTAATCATAGTATATAAATAGGTTTAATCCTGCTTAAGTTATAAATCAAGTAAATTATCTTTTTATTTAATCTCAAAACATAAGTAATGCAAAGACGTCTAGTATTCTTTATATATAGGTAGGTACTACATACAATGCGCGAGCGTAGCATTGTCCTTTCGTATTATGAATAAAACTAAGACCTCTGGATGAACTACACTATAATACAATAAAACCTTGAAAATTTTTTGTTACCTCACTGATGCGGTATAAATTTTTCCTATGAATGGAATCAAATTGAATCCAACAGGGAGAATGACTGAAGATGCAGCCGGGACCAACGAGCTCGAGATAATAAGTTGGACGCCTACCGGTCATAGACCGAAAGCGCTAACATCGTAGCGATGTTACATTTTTTTTTCCTCCGCAAATGTCCTGAAAAGTTAGGGTAACAAGTAAAAAGTGGTATCTAACGTGAAGAGACTGAAAATATAATAAAAAGAATTATATAAATGTAACTTTAACTTAATTTAATTCTTATTACAGGTAGACTCAGATACACACACACACACACATATTTCTCTTTTACTCTCTAAGATGGCTTACTGTGGGTTTGATTTTGCTACAATAAAATGGTTTGACAGTTACCTGACTGGACCGTACGTAGTATGTTGAGTTGACATAAATTAACGGTTCTAACATTATAATATTACATATAATATAATATTATTATGTAATTAATATTTTATTAATATTATATATGTAATTAATATAATACATATAATATTATACTACATTTTATATATGGCCCATTACCCATGGTGTTCCTTAGGGTTAAATCTTGGGGCTAGTATTATTTTTGTTATATTGCGCGGATCTGACGAAGAGTATAAGAAATACTAAAATGCATATACACGCACCTCTTTTAAACCTGAAGCTTACGAGTTGGCACTGAAGACTCTTAATGACCATCTTGATAAAGTTGTGCGATGATCAAAGAGAAACTCTCTTGTGCTCACAACGACAAAAACCAAATTTATGATATTTGGTATAAAAAGGCAATTAAATTCATTAAGCTATACCAACACTAAAGTGACTGTAATGGAATATATTGAACGTGTTTATGAAGCAAGAAATTTGTTTCAAAAAATACATTGCTCGTGCTATTCAAAACTGTTTTTATAGATTAAAAATTATCTACAGAATGAGGTCATACAGGAACAAATGCTGGAATAACATCCCACCACCATTAGCAAACTGTTCCTCTGTATTCACACTGAAAAGTAGTTAACATGATTTATATTTAAAAATTCAAAAGAAATGTGAAAATTTGCGTATGAACTCATTTGTATGCTGCACTGCCAAATATTTACGTCATAACTTTTTTATTAGGGTTGATGTTGTTCGAGTGCATTTTGAGAACGTTGTGACCGGAAGCTACTTAGTTGCTATTTTATTAAATAAATATTATTTTGATAATCGAGACTAACAAAAAATAATGCTTTATCATCTTAGGGTTGCAACTGAAAATCAGCGTTTGGTACTCTTGTGCCAAACATTATGCTGAAGTGATGGCTGATATGGCACCTGGCTTTTTGTAAAATATGTTTTTTTTTTGTACTAAGTTTTATTTTTATTACTATTTTGTTTTGTAATTTATCTAGGTGTGAATAAACGATTATTCTTTCTTACTCTATGGAGGTCATATACCGAACTACACAATATACAAACAAATAAAATAACGTCGTTTTCCGCTTGAACTTTTCAACGTTCATCGATACGTTTCAGGCAAAGTAAGCGTTGAATACACTTAATATCATCCAAACACAATTACGGAACATCACCTATAATATAAGCGGTCATTGAATGTTGTTATAACTGGTTATGTGCTTTAAGAAAATGCAAGTGCTAATGAAAAAAATCCTACGAGTCAATTCAGCCGTGTAAATGAGAGTTTGTCAAAAACCTGTGCGGGACCGGGTCGAATAATTAGTGTAGTATAAATAACCATGTACCAAGTGACAAAGGTACAGTGCACTTCGTTGGTTCACCGGAACACATTGTTTACAAAATGAACTCATACGTAGCGGTAAATATGAATCTGGATTATTAAATATATTGTAGTAATTTAATGTTATAGAAAAAAAAAAAATTTAAGCTTGTTATGTTTCAAAGTATTTCATAAGAAATAATGTCTTAATCCAAATAAAGAGAAAAAAAATTGTTTTTTTTATTTGTTTGCATCAAATAGGCTTCGAAATTGTTTGACCGATTACAAAAAATATTTTAATCTACACGAGCGAATTTTGCTGGCAAACAGCTAGTATTTGATAAATTGCTAATTATCTTATAGACAATCCTTGTTTAAATCTTCAGGTATGTTGCTTTGTGGCATTAGCTGTATGTGTATCAGGATCAGCAATACCTGTAGTTAACTACGCCCCTATCAACGTCATCGACAAGATCGTAAGTAGCCGTTGTCGTTATCAATATTTTTTCTAACTCTTGTTTTATTTGGCAAGAAAAAAATTGGACATGGTATCTATGACAAAATTCTCTTATTACTTCGCAGTCTTATATTAATAAAATACTTTTTTTATGCATAACCATAAAAGCTATAGTAAAATAGTTAACACGCTTATGAAAAGATCGTATTACTGTAATTTTCTGTCACCATATTGCAGCACCAGCACATGTAGTAAACATTTTTTTAAACCTGAAACATCATTCATAGAGTAGTTAGCAAAGTGTAAAGTAATAGAGGGCAGACCTTTAGTATAGTGATATTTATCCAATAAGTATGACGGAAATCATTGATTTTCAAAAGACCAAATAAAAAAAAAAACTACTTGTGCTAATGCTATTATATACCTACAAGTAATAGGGAAATTAAAATAAGAACATGTTTTTCATTTTCCTAATTATTCCGAACAGCCTAACCCTAGTTACGCATTTAACTACGCCGTAAACGACCCGTCGACTGGAGATAACAAAGCCCAGTGGGAGACGAGGGACGGAGACTTGGTAAAAGGAGAGTACTCGCTGGTAGAGCCCGATGGCAACGTAAGAGTGGTTGAATACACAGCCGACCCTCTGAGAGGATTCAACGCAGTGGTGAAGAAGACCGGACCGAATATCCACTCCGTGGCACCAGTGGCCATCGCTCCAGTTGCCCCGATCGCACCGGTTGCCCATATTGCCCCAATCGTCGAGCCCGCACCGATAACGGAGATAGTGCATGACGTTGGACCTGCTGTCCCGATTGCACCTATCGCTCCGATTGCCCCAATAGTTTCAGTAGAGCACGCGCCTATTTTAACGCCTTTAATCGAACCAGCCCCTATCATTGCGCCTCTACCGTACCTCCCCCTTCCCGCACCAGGACCCCTAGTCTCCCTTACAGGAACAACATACGGCGCCAAAGGGCACATCGTCCGAAGATGGACCGCCGGACCGATCTCGTTAGACGGCAAAACGCTCACGATTAGAACTAGAAAACATTAGTATCTAATGTTAATTAATTAAAATATGTATAATAACTTCTCCGTGTATATGTAACAATGGCAGTTACTCACGGCGCTAGTGTGTTTTTGCACGTTCTATATTTAAAGTGCAAAAATACACATAGGTCTCTAGAAGTTAAGATTATAATTGAACGAATTTATGAATCGGTAACCACTAAACGAAGTGTACCTGCCATATACGATTGTGTATTGCCAATGTAAATAAATGCGTATATTTTAAAGACTTTTTTTTTCATATATCATTTATAGCCTATATATCATACACAGCCAACTGACCATTCTAGACAAGACATAACAGATGTAACTTAGTAGTTTCGAAGGATAATTTTTAAATGACAACAAATAAAAATAATTAAATAGAGGTTTCTCACTTATTCAGATCCCACTTAACCAGATTTCACTGTATAACAAAAATAGCCGTTTGCAGTCCAATAGTTTATCTTTAGACGCTAAAAAATAATATTGTGTTATCACCGTCAAACATATCAAATAATAAGCACATTATTATTCTTAAAAATAAAATACTTTTTACAATAGATTACAAACGTCATCAAAACAATTGAAAGAAGGACGTACGTTCCACTTCCACCTCAAAATGTTTTATTTTATTTATTGTCATTTACAAAATTATCCCTCGAAATCGCAAAGTTATCGTACATCTGTTGTCTTGTCTAGAATGGTCATTTAGCTAACATGTTGTTATAAGAATATAAAGTATATTTAGACCTCCTTTTATTATTTAAAAAAACGACATTATTAGTCTATTTAGTTTACTGTGAGATGGAGCGTGCAATGCTAATAATATGTTATGTGAGTCGCGCGCGGGCCGGCTCGTCGACCAACCGTGCGAAACCTAAATAGTGTAACTATTAACTAACTGAGTTAATAGGCAAATTACTATATCGCAATCAATACTAATCTATTCATTACAATTAAGCAAACAAACAAACATACATACAAAGTTTTCCTCTTTATAATATTAGTTTAGATTGGTAACAAAACTATAAAGGAAAAGCGGAAACGTCTTAATTTAAAAATCATTTTAGTGATATTTAATGATGTTTTTTTTGTTTCAAATACTACAATATGGGTATCAAATTAAAGGGCTCAATACCAGGTTTGCAAAAAGTCATAATATGATTATCATTGCCGTAATACTAAAAAAATCACACAATGATAAAATTTAAAAATATGGACTTTATTTTATCACTTTTTGAACCAATCTAGTAATTTGTCTAAATAAAAAGACATAAATAGAATTATAATTAAGAAACAAAAAACCAGCCTGCGTGATAAACAACTAGCTGTAACAGCATGCTCATACATAGCATGCTGGCATGCAGTCGGAGGCATGAAATAGAATATTCAGTCAAATCATTATCTCTTTGTGCATGCCTCCGAGATTAACGGATTGGTTTCGGGTTATATATTCCCAGATGCATATATCTCGCAACTCATGTATTTCAAAGAGTGATTTCTTATGTGCAGTATTTAAAATTGCAAAAAAAAATTTTTTTTTCTAAAACTAGTCTATAAATTTCCGTTTATACAATAAACGTGCATAATTTTACGTATTAAATTCGATTCGATTAAATTCCATGCGTAGGAAAGGCTTGAGCCCAATGGGGACGTTAATAGACAGTTTATTAACGCTTATTGACTGGATGCACATTTTATATACAAGAACCTCTTTTTATATCATCTATGTTTATGCTGAAATAGCATTTTGAAAAGATACAGCGATATGAAATGGTACTTACCGGATTATTGTCATCGTCAACGTCATACTCTTCTCGTTGAACCATCATCAGTTTACCGCTCGCATTTATCACCTGTTTATATATAAAATATGATTACAGTAAAAATTTGCATTTACAATGACGGACGAGGCTGAGCATAAAGGCAAGAGATAGGGACGTAATTTGTTGCAAAGGGTTCCAAGAACTATTTTAATTAAATCTCTAATGCTAGCAAACTTTAAAACATGTTAAATTTCGCAATCCTAGCCTTCGAGTAACCTAACCCATCCTTATTTGAAAAGGAATGTCGAAACAATGAATCAATCCATTGCATAATGTAAAATAAAGCCACTAAGCGCGTCATTTTTTTTTTATGTCACGGTCACCAATCCGATGAGTAGCCTCAACGAAACTTGCTTAACATTCGTAATCGCAGAGCAACTCACCAGTGAGTCAGGCGCACGCGGGGCGTACAGCGGGGCGGGGTGTGAGGCGCGCGGGCGGGGCGGTGCCTGCAACCTACATAACGCCACGGACACAACGCACGCCGTGTGCGACAGGGCAGACACGTCCACCGCCTGCACGCAACGCATTTCCACCGTGCCCTCACCGCCTAATCATATATAATGAGTTCTAACCACATCACCTACATGTTATGTACCTGCCCTATTTAAATCAAATAAAGTTTCTTTTAAATAAATATAAATAAGGCGATCGCACATCTTCTTAACAATACTATTAAATTTATTGCGAACAACATTACACATAAAAATAATAGGGTAGTTTCAGAAGTGAACAATAAGTCACGAAATTGCACAGAAATCAAAATTCACAAACATAGATTCTGAGTTTGAGTCTCAAATCGCACGATCATCTTATTATATTAAAATTAAAAGTCGTGAGTTTACTTTTGGGTGTCAAGTTACTTGAAACAAGACCCGCCATTGTGTGTCATCACTGTGGCGACTACTAAGACAGATTAGTCATAAAGATATGCTTAATAATCATAAATCAAATTCCTAGATTCTATTCCTAGCTTATTTATATATTTTTATTTCAAAATCGCTCGTCTAACGATTTGATAAGCATTGATCTTGTTTTATTACAAATCAAAAAGACGTCAAAAATATGACGGACAGCGTTTTCGCGGGTATATAAAAAAATGATTTAATTTTATGGAAATAAAGTGTTTATTTTTCCGTAATATTTGAAAAAAAAAATTATCAAAATTTCCACAAAAACGCAAACTTCTGTAATGGCGTCGCTATGACGTCACACCCCCCTTAAATTAATATCATCCTATGAATGCAAAGGTTTAATTCCCTAAGTTCTGATATGAGTAAGATGGACGTGACGTCACGCGCTATTTACGTATAAGTATAAAATATTTGATTTCTTATAACTAATTTAAGCAATACTATAAATATAATAAGCATAAAAGTGTGAGTATCGGTAAAAGTATATTAAACACTACCAGAAAAAAAAAGTATTTATATTCGTTTACTGTCGAAACCCGTATTCATAATATAACAATACAAAAAATATGAAGTAATCTTTTAAATCATTATTAAAAATTTTCGTTGTATGGATTTGATATTTTTTTACTTTAAATATTCTCAAAGACATGCCATAAAAATTACACGAAATTTCGATTAGTATGATATGCTTACAAAATAGAAGCATGGCGACTTCCTTGTATTTAGTGACCACTATTCCCAGTATTAGGTATTTATTTGATTTTTGCGGTCGATTTTATTTTAAAGTATTCTGAAATAGCTCTGTGTGACTTCCAGGCCGAATAACTTACACGACGGTTTCTAGTTATCGCCATATCTGATGTCCCGGAATCAATTCTTAATCGGGTCAATGTACATAATGAACATTCTGTACTGTCCCGAGTCTGGACCTTCTACCTACCTTCTAAAAGACACTTAGTTTAGTATTTAAGCTATTATGTAAATTACTTACCGCTATCGAGCCGTGTTAGTTCATATATTGTGACGAGTGCATCTGCACCGAACACTACGAGCTGATCGTCCAGTATATCGAGTACGTATACGGGCGATTGCACGCGCACGATTGTCGCACACTTGTTGTCCAGCTTAGAGTCGCGTGGATAAAAACGGATCTCGTCGTGACCGTCCAGTATACTGTAGCAACCTGAGATATATATCAAACAATAACAAAAAATTATTTTGAACTCTATCCTAACTCCATTAAGATTTAAAAGTAAGTAAAAAAAAAATAGTTTTGTATAATTTTTTATCTATGCATAGTATTAAAAAAAAGTCACTTCCTGCTGTTTGCACGCTGAGATCTTTTAATCTATACAACAGAAATTAATGCGATTTTCATCAATATAGAGAGTAATTCAAGAGGAAGGTTTATATCTACATATAAACGAAGACCACGCGGGTGAAAACGCTGGGCGCAATTCTAGTGCTATATAAATGCTAAATATAATAAACCCAGAATCATATTATTAATTTTAAAAAAATTATACCTATAACTATATAGTCGTTCCACCACAGCATGCCGCCGGTAACAACGAAGTCCTTCTCTTGAGCCTCATTACCGAATAGTTTCCATCGTCGCGACGCGCAACTGTAATGAGCTAGACCAGTACGACCGGCTACGCTCACGTTCATGCCCTCCTCGTCTATAGCACTGAACTAGTTGAAACAAAACATATCAATTGTAATAAACTGAAAAGACGAACTTTGTTGTTTTAAACTTGATGGTCATTTACATTAGAATCAAAGTTTTTTTACAGGACTGCTAGATGTACCTGTACGCCAAGATTACGGAGTAACTGAAGACTTGAGGGTAGTTGTAACTGGCAAATATATCGTTCTACCCTCTTTCTCATATTAAACGTCTCACTAACTCCATAGTAAACTTTTATCTTTAAAATTATATATTCTCAACGAGTAGAGATATTAAATCAAATACAAACAAGAGATATCCAGAATACAATTATAGATCAATAAGAAATATTAATTCACAAAATATACCCTCAAAGGCCAGTTAGTAGCTATGTATGTGGCAGGCAGCGGCAATATAATCCACTGTTTCCTGCACTCGTTGTCATCCACAAACTCTCTGTATTTAGTACTGCTGTCATAGTCCAAGTTAGGTTGGTCATTGCCATTCTCAGTCTGATAGGCATCGGAGGATGAATCTATGATAGATATCTTAGTTCTACGAGTCAGATTGTCTTCGAGATTCACGTACAATTTGTCGTCTGCTTGCAAATATAGATGCCTTTGATTGCTCTGTGGAAAAATACGTATCAATTAAAAGATATAAACAGGATTATAGTATGGAACCTAATAACTTCCATTTTGTTACTACTTCAAAATCACGGCGACTGAAAAAAAGTCTAAAACTTAGCTTAACATTTACAAATACATAAACTATATTTCGGAATCGTGACTTTCTAGAAAACAATAGTCTAATTATTTTCCTTTCAATTATTCAATTACAATTTAGATTTTGGTCAATTTGTTATAATGTTCGCTTACCATACAAGGGTTAACACTAAGCGGACTTTTCACGAAATCCAGCTGCAACAAATTTGAACTAGCGTCTCCTTCGACTTTCACCATCCACAACTGATAACCTTCTGTCGCCCACTCCTGTATAAAAATATTTGAACACAATAAATTTTTCTTTTCTCGTTCTAAGCTTAAACTGCTTAAACTACTCGTTAGTAATACCAATAGCCGTACAAAGGCTTCGCGACCTCTAAATGTAAAACTATTTACAATTTTGCATTCACAATGCTATACCACAGATTATTCTGTGGTACCAAGTGCTTGAAAGATTCGTCAGTACTGTTAGGTCCTGGGTAGCTCAGCGGTTAGAGCAGTCGCCCGGATTGCGAAAGGTCGTGGGTTCGATTCCCATCTCAGGGTGCCAGGGACCAAGTGGATTTTTTAAGCATTTTGTATTAAGAATAATTTTCAGTATGGCATTGTGAATGCAAAATTAATCAAAAATATAGAAACAGTAACTAAGAACAACCGGTCAAATTCATGTGCACACAGAGATGTGCACGCATTGACGTGGATTTTCAGGAGGTGTCGAGGTGGGCTCAGTTGCGCTTGTCACTGCAAGATAGATGTCAAAAGACTTTTTAAAGACTATCTGCCATCTAAGTTTTTTCTTATAATACGTAAAATTTCTGTTTTAACTGTAAACAATAATTTTTAGATTCTTATTTAGTTTTATTGGAGTTTAATCATTCAAGAAACTAGCGGCCTTTCCAACAATACTAGACGCACGGAGAGTGAGCGATCTCAATAAAAATGACACGAAAATATTGTGTAGTATAAGGATGTTTAAATCTATGACGTCTTCAAACGTGAACCTTTCGTTTTTGAAATTATTTCTCATTAAATATCAAATATTTTATTGATATAATTGTTCCGTAACGAAACAGATCATTGATAATTGGCTATACAAAGACAACACAACTGTGGGTAAAATTTTTATTGTCTATGGGCAAGGCGATTAGCTGTCTTCGTTCCAAATCCCCACCCTTAATCCTTGGGTGACGGTTTACTACTGTGATTTCAAATTGTTAACTGCGCGCACCTAATTTTGATTGAGCTTGGTGAATTGTTCGTTATCGAGAATAAGGACATTTCGGAAGAACGGTGGATCAGTGCCTATGGACTATATATCGTGTATGATATATTCGCTGGTAACCGCGTCGACGCACCCCGTTCCAGAACCCAGCCCTCGGAACCCGTGGCGGTAAAGGATCGCTTGCGGTGAGTCGCCAACCCCTGCTTAATATCGTACATAATTTCTTTTGATCCGTTCGAACCGGATTGCTATCTTTCAGTTGTGTTGTCTCTAAACAGTATTACGTACTTATTATCATGGATAGTGACGCAGCGAATTCGAAGCAGTCATCTTTGTTACGCAAAATGTCTGATGATGAATCGCCGTGTGAACAAGATTTATTCGAACGAGATCTTATTCTCGATGAGTTAAAACGAACATTACAGTTCGCAGCGACAGATGTCCAACAGTTTCGCTCGCGAACTACTGATTTAAATTCTCACCAACGTAAATTCAATAAAGTTCAAACTAAAATTGAAAAAACGTTAATCAAGTTAAGGTCTTTTAACAAAGAGGAACAGATTAAGATACGCAACGATTTCAATGATTTGTACTACGCTATTATCACTAATTTAAATAATTTAAAGAGGGTGGATGAAGAGCAACGACGTATGAGTCGTCCGTTAATAACGCCTTTAGTTCAGTCATCTAATTATAATAAGAATTTACCAACTTTGCCTTTGCCTAATTTCAGCGGCGATCCTACGGATTGGCCTTCCTATTTCGATTTGTTTCGATCATTAGTCCATTTAAACAGTGCCTACACAGAGGCGGAAAAATTCCGTTACTTATTACTTACGGTACACAACGAACCCCACAATTTAATTAAATCTATCCCTATTACAGACGAGAACTATTCGGTAGCTTTAAATATTTTGATATCTCGTTATGAGAATAAAAGAGTTATTGCCTCAAAACACCTTGACAGAATTCTCGACATCGAACAGTGTTCCGATAGATCGTCTCAAAGTATACGTAATTTATTAAATGTCTACCAAGAAAACATTAAAGCACTGGAGATTATGCACTTTCCCGTAAGCGAATGGAGTTTTTTGTTACTTAGCATTTTGTTACGAAAAATACCTATTAACACTCGTAAATCTTATGAACGTTCTTTAACTAATTCGTCCGACATTCCAAACGTTAGCACATTGATTTGTTTCTTAGAACGCGAAATATCAGCTGAGGAAATTATCTGTTCGACTAACAGCGGACAGTACAATAAATTATCTAGTGTGGCTAATGTGAATATGCGCCACCGTCACAATAATCGCGTAGAAAACCAGTTGCAGCAACGGCAACTTCGTTCGTTTGCTGCTAATGTCACACCAGTTTCAAAACCGTCGAATGATAATCGGTCTTATGAACAGAATCATAAGAATAGAAATTGCTTATGTTGTAATGCTCAACATACGTTGACAAAGTGTTCGCAATTTTTAAACTTATCCCCTCAAGATAGATTTGCTTTAGTTCGTAAGAAAAATATTTGTTATAATTGTTTGCATTTTGGGCATGATGTGAATCAATGCAATTCTAGTTTTGTCTGTCGTACATGTCATAAGCGACATCACACATTAATTCACTTTTCAAGTAAATCGTTACCGATTACTGATAATAAAATATCTGCAAATAATGCAGTCTCGCTCCCACCTTCAGTGGTAGCTGAGATGCCTGTAACCGCTACCACGAATGATCCGCAGTGCGTTGCTCCCGCCGGTGAGAACGTGATTCATAATTGTTGCGCGTCCAATGCCGCGTTCGCTCGTACGACTACGGTGCTATTGTCTACGGCACTCGTCGACGTATGCATAGGTGCGGTGAAAATAGCGACCGTTCGCTGCATTATAGACACTGGAAGTCAGGCGAGTTTTATCACTGAGGCGTGTGCGCAGCGTCTGGGTTTGATGCGCGGGCATGTTAATGTTTCTGTGTTCGGTATAGGCAATAGTGAAGCGGCGCGTAGCAAAGGATTTATAAATTGTAATATCGCGCCTAAGGGTAGATTAGAACCCTTAGTTCCGGTAAATCTTTTAATTTTAAACAAATTAATTTCACAAATGCCGAGTATGCAGTTACCGTACACTGGTTGGCCTCATATAAAAGATTTAAATTTAGCGGATCCCGCTTTTCATACGCCACAGCCAGTGGACCTGTTATTAGGAGCGGATATACTATCCCATGTGCTTTTGAGTGACGTCATTACGGGCTTACCAGGTTCACCGATAGCAGTAAATAGTATATTCGGTTATTTATTGTTAGGTAAACTAGATATTGTTTCCTCTCCGTCTCAACTTCAAGTTTGTTTTAGTTCATTTGACAATGACAACCTTCAGAGATTTTGGGAATTAGAGTCACTTCCTGAAAAACGGAGTTACACTCCTGATGAAGAAATATGCGAATCCTTTTTTCAAAAGACGCATATACGTGACGCAACGGGGCGATACGTGGTCGCTTTGCCTTTTAAGCCGGAGGCTCCCCCTCTAGGCGAATCCCGTCAAACTGCACTTGCGCGCTTTCGTAAGTTAGAGTTTCGTCTCGAGCGAAACCCGAAGCTTAAGGAAGACTATCATGCCTGTCTCCAAGAGTATCTGGATATGAAGCACATGGAGCCCGTTAAGGGCGAGCCGACATCAGGGGCCACTTATTATATTCCGCATCATTGCGTGGTCAAAGAATCCAGTGAGACCACTCGCACTCGAGTAGTTTACGACGCCGGGTGTAAAACTTCTAGTGGCTACTCATTGAATGACATTTTGTTGACAGGTCCTAAACTTCATTTAGATATAGTTAATGTTATTTTAAAATTTCGTATTCATTCAGTGGCCTTCACTGCTGACATCAAACAAATGTTTAGGAATATTTTAGTTCGAAAGGAAGATAGGGATTTTCAGCGCATTTTATGGCGGAAGTCGCCTGATGAGGTTATCCGTGATTATCGTCTTTCTACAGTCACATTTGGAGTGAATTGCTCTCCATATCTGGCTCTCCGAACTATCCAGCAATTGGCTATAGATGAGGCTTCACGATTCAAACTTGCTTCTAAGGTTTTATTAAATGATGTTTTCGTAGATGACGTCACTTCCGGTGCCTCTACTGTTCATGAAGCTTTAGTAGTTCAACAAGAGCTTATTAATATTTGTAAGACGGCGGGTTTCGAGCTTCGAAAGTGGCATAGTAATTCACCAGAGGTACTTGCTGCAGTAATTCCCCCAGATTCTCATGGTGAGCGGCTCGATGAAGTCCGATTCGCCGAAATGGAACACGATGAACAGGTCAAGGTCCTTGGACTTCAATGGAACCCTATTTCCGACTGTTTCAATTTTAATGTCAAAATATCACCTTGCTTAAGCACCAAGCGCGCTATTCTTTCCGAGATAGCTAAAATATACGATCCATTGGGCCTTTTAGCGCCAGTTACTTTATATGCCAAACATTTGATCCAACTTTTGTGGATAGCCAATATAGGTTGGGATGAAGCACCGCCGATTGATATTGTTAATTCATGGAAATCATTTAGTAGTCAGTTACCATTTATTTCGAATGTGTCGTTCCCAAGGCACATTTTTTCTGATTTAGGATCTGTTCAGATTCATGGCTTTGCCGATGCTTCAGAAAAGGCTTTTGCCGCCTGTGTATACATACGCCTTACGGGCAAAGACGGGCATGTTCGTACTTCGCTTATTATAGCCAAAACTCGAGTCGCTCCACTTCGTATGCGTCTTACTATTCCCCGTCTCGAACTTATGGCAGCCCTATTGTTGTCAAAACTACTACAGCAGGTGTTAGTTACCTACTCAGATTACGTCAAGGGTGATCAAGTTTACGCTTGGTCTGATGCATCCATAGTGTTAGCGTGGTTACGTTCGCCACCACATGAATGGAAAACATTTGTTTCTAATCGCACTAGCGAGATTCTTTCACGCGTTCCCGTTAACTGCTGGCGACATGTACCGTCGACCGATAACCCTGCTGATGCTGCGTCTCGTGGTATGCTACCTGGCGTATTTATAGAACATGATTTGTGGTTCCAAGGTCCAAGTTGGCTCCGACAGGACGAAGCTTGCTGGCCGGAATCAAAGTCTTACTATACAACGGAAGAGGAAAAGCGTCTCAATATTAATTTGATTAACACTAATTTAACTACACTGGATCCCTTACCGGATGTAGAGATAATTTCTCGATTTTCTACGTTAGGAAAACTTGTTCGCGTTACTGCAAT